AGGGTGGATAAATCAGAGTTAGCAGAGACAGCCACCGCACCATTCTGATGATAAAAGTGACGAAATTTCCGAAAGTCTGTATACCTACTGCTGAGTGATGAACTCACTTGCTCTTTTTCTTCGTCTGTGAGTACGTCTCATAACCTGATCAACGAACGCACGTCCACAGCATCGTTTGATTGTACAGCCTGTTTGCCCTATCTGAAACCGAAATATAGTCCAATGTGCCGGAGGGAAGGTGGGATGGTCGATAGGGCGCGGCCACAAAGTATGTCGATGGCCATTTCCTGTGCTTGCACTCATAACACGTACATATTTCTGAACCTAACCACCAGTTCCTCTACTCCCATTTTCATGGTACCATAACTTGCGCTTCCGAATTCTTCCCTTGTACAGGCAGTTGTCCGCCAACTCCTCCTCAGAGGTATCTCCTCAGATCGTCAATGCGGTCACCAGTCAGCGACAGCGTCGAAGTGCGCAGAGAACCAGCATTCAGCGGAATGCGAGTGAAGTCCTTGAGTCTCCACAGTCTGACCATCAGTCAGAGTCACCGGTCGAGCTCCTTGTTTCTGCGATCGCGGACTATGCACGTTTTCAGTGCGATGTCAGCGAAGTTGACTTCGGAGAAGTGCAGATATTTGACGGTCAACGGAGACAGTAAGAATTCTTCCAGTTCGCGTATTGATCCAGCAAGATGGCTGACTTTCTTTGAAACAAAATTATATTAGGTCATATCCAAATATCACTTGTTTACCTTTATTACGACAAAACTTACAAGGCTAGAATAAATAAGCTAAGTTTTCTCGTAACAGAGGTCAACAATAAAGCCTGATGACACATTAGATGAAAATCTTATTGGTCTGCACTACTTGTCTTTGGACGCCTTCTGAAGACTGGTAACAAACACGTTTTCACGTGCGTTCTGCAATCCCAAGTACGCACTCAAGCTTCAGCAAGTCACTGACTCAATAAAAATGGTTCAGGTCACGATGACCTTACCCTAAACAAAACCACAAACATAAGGCTAATCCTAATCCTAAAAAGAACCCCGGACCTAGCGTTCAAAGTAACCCTAAAAGCTAGCCCTAACCCTACTCCCAAAACTAAGACTGGCCTTTAAAGTTAACCCTTACCTTAAATCTGACTAGAATCGTAAGATCTGTTACTAGCAATAATCCTGAAACTAACCCTCAGACTAGCTTCAACCCTAACCTTTAATCTAACCCAAAAGTAAACCTAAACCTAACCACAGTCCCAACCCCGAATGCAGATTGCAAATTTTTCGTTCCGATTGCAGCACCTGTCCTGACTTGGAAACGCAGAAATCCTAGCCGTAAGGCGTAACCTTAACAGTAAATGGCTTCATAAAAACCTGCGGGCGATAGAAAGAACTATGACTATCACGCAAACAACTAATAATTTAGTTGACCTAATTGGGAAAAAAACTCGCGTCCTCGGTGGGAGCTCAATGGTAGAGCGTTGGCTGCGCAAAAGCCTTCCCTACTGTGTGGGTTCGACTCCCGTCGAGGCCGCGATTTTTTTCACAATTGGGTCAACTAAATTAAGCAGATCAGCTCAACCTCCCTAACAATAATACTTTAATTGGAAACCGCCTACAGAGCTCGGCATGAGAGAGATTACAATTAATCCAAGTCCATCTACTTTGCAATCGTAACTAGACATTTATGGGAAAATAAATCCACTGGATTATCATCCAATTCATCCTTACCAACTACTCCTTCAGCCATCAGGAGGCTATCTAGCCAGTCCCTACCTGCAGCTTGCTTTTTCGCCTGGTTCAGCCGCTCAGTGTATACCACCTGTGTGACGCGGTTGTCGACTGGGTCGAAAACATGCCATCAAACAATTTTACATCTCCAAGGGATGTCTAGAGCATTTAATTGTCAGCCAATCAAGTTTCACTTAACTTCCGCCTTCAGAAGCTTTACTTAGCTTACTCTTCATAAAATAATTGTTATGACCCGGGCTTGCAATCAGAAATCACACGAAGTGTATGCTTGATTGACTGTTGTCCCAAACACCAACACGACAGAGAAATAGAACACGATCGGTCACGATAAAATGTTTTAAAATCCTGCAAGGAATTTGCATTGAAAAGTTGCGTCTATTTCTAGCATTCCTTTCAGATTTAATAAAATTCCTTTTTAGGAGAAAGTTACAAAAGCGCCGAGAAACTTCTCGTAGACATGGATTAATTCGATTTTACGAGGACACTATGCCCACAGCCAGTGCGGGGTGCTGTATAGTTCCCGTTCATGGCATGCAGCGTGAGAGCCGCATGCACGTGATTTTCTGTGAGACTAATTCATCCCGAAAACGTGGAAATTCCCAACGCAAACAAATAATTCGAACAATCTAATGTTAACAATGATTAAAGCAAAGAATAAGCTGCAAACGCCTCTTTGCTTGATTGTTTTCAGTGTGATAAATCTGCATAGGTATAAGATCAATCCGAAATATAGACCCTTTGTCTCTTTTAAAGAATTCAGATTTTCCTTTTGGACGTGAAGACTTCCACTGAATACACTTTACCCTTTTCCACTTATCTGAGATACATATATAGAGACTCTGACTTCCGCTGGCGGCTCAATCCCAATTGGTATACCAGTATTGATCGCCCTTTGAAGGATTGCTTTTGCAATTCAACCAGTGTAAACGTAACTGAGAAGAAGACGACTCGATCGCTGGGACAATACTTTCGTTCGCCTGACGTTTCGAGATCCCCCTCCCCCATAGACGTAACTGTTTATCTCATAAAAAATGAAGTCGAAGATAGTAATAATTGCAGAAGTAGCTACCCAGATTTACAAGGAGGAAACGTAATAGAGGGAAGGAATCTGCAGCAGAAAATGTCTCATATAGAAATATCATTTTGAAATAGGGTTTGGGGCTACTGTATAGAGGCCGCCAGAAGAGTAGTTTCCTCTACATTGTTAACTGAATTCTTTCAACTGAAATGTAGACCAATTACCACTGAGTCTTCTTTCCCACTTTCCTGCCCACAGAATATCTATCAAGAATAAGGGTTTCGTTACACTGAAGTTTGCCTTCACACGGCCAGCGTACGACGAGACCATCGACCAAGCAACTGATATTGATCCTGAGCAGTCGCCATTCCGGATTCACTTGGCTGAAGGATCTGTATTGCCGGGGGCAACTCTGCAAATTGAGGTAAGTTTGATCTGATTTTGATTTCCATAGAAATCCTTCTAAGTTAATCTGAGAACAAGTTTGAAGTCTAGGATAGAATATGCAAACCCACAGAGAAATTAAAGCACAGGAAGGATCTTAACAGCACGTTTGTTAATAGTTTAGCTGGATGTGGGAATCAACGGAGTCTGCGAAAGGCGCTGAGCAAACTCGCATGCCGGTCGAGTTTTTATTTTATTACTCCAATGAGGTGTCGTAACACATCGCGCATTTTTAAAGAGGCGAATAAGGCGCGCGTAACCAGGCGCTAAACAGGCAATCCAAGATTACTGAAGGCCGGGTGAGACGGTATGCGACAGGAAAACGTTGTCCTAATCCAAACCTTAACCTCTTCTTTATCCCTAATGTAACCTAAACCTAAACTGAACCCTTAATATAATCGTTTTCGTGAGCTGGAGCGCAAGCGTAACCCAAATAAAGTATGCCTGACTAAATCAAATGTGCGAAGGGAGTCAATTATGGTCGTCATCTCATCCAGGTGAGACATGGGGGTGGGGATCGATAAGAGAAGACCGTTTATGCAGCTGTGAGGGGTATGATGGAGACGGTCCCAGAGGAACGGGGGGAGGGAGAGAGAGAGGGCGCGGAAAAGTGCACGCAGTTCAACGACCGTTAGCCATGTCAGGCGCGGAGCTTATAGGAAGTTGTTCATGCACACAAGACCGACTTCCGCAACCGGATAGCGGTCGCTTCTGCTACTTCTAACAGACACGGACTCAGGAAATTGGGGTAGTTTGGTGGGAATCGTTGGGGTCCACACCATTAATTCCGAACCACCACCACCAACAACAACAACTTCTACTACTACTACTACTACTACTACTACTACTACTACT